TAGATAGATAGATAGATAGATAGATAGATAGATAGATAGATAGATAGATAGATAGATAGATAGATAGATAGATAGATAGATAGATAGATAGATAGGATTTATGATATTATATGATTTAAATGATTCACTGTCTTTGGATTGACATTATTTGAAGTTGCTAGTAGGCTTGCCCAGTTCAACAGTTTATCTTTAATTCAATTCAGTTCAAGTGCATTCAAAAATCAAAAGGAATCTAGATTTGACTCTGGGTTTGTCTTGTAGGACCCTACTGGCCACAGTGAATGCTGCACGGAATCTAGTTACTTCACAAGAGAACTCTCTGAAGATTTAGGTCCATTGACCAAGGTATATTAAGTCCTTCATGGACTGCTCCCCTCATTATGTCTTTGTATACATAATGTCTACAAGATATTCTTGTGATTAAATGCTCTGGTGGTTCATTCTTACCAGGTGACAGCCTGGTGATAATGAACAATATATCTTAAATTGTTAATTGCTAACAATTTTGTTAACAAGATACTTTTTTTTTAAACAAAATTATATTCATATTAAAGACCACGTTTAAAACATACTATTTGTGATGGCTGTCTCACTTCACTTTTATAAACCTTTCTGGCTGAAGAATTGTCTTCTTGCCAAGCTCAAGTCATTATTTATGTTGTTAATGAGATGTTCTAGCATATAAATATAGACAATTTACAAAATTAATTGTGGTTTGCATTGCATTGTGTTTTATGACATTTGCTATATTTTACAGATTTCTGAGAGAACACATTATGTTTACTTGTGATGGAAATGAACAAAAATAGAAGTGACCAAGGCCATCCTGTGGACAGAGCTTAACTTTGAAGAAAGTAAAGATTTAACAGCTGATGAAGATGTGACTGAAGACAATGTCTTCGTCTGGATTCAGGCCTGCTTGGTTATGGGCAGCCTCCCTTTTGATTTGATCATATAATGTGATTTTTGGACACTGAACACCAGATTTGCAACAAAACAGCAGTATTTTACATCCTTGTAGTTATAAAATCACAAATTACTCATCTCCTGTGTAGTAATGGTGTCATCATGTTTACTGAAAACTGAATAATTACTTCGCTGCAATTGTCACACTTGGCAAAGCTGAGTGGACCAAACTGCATCCACTTCTGACCTGCAGGCCCATTCTTTTTAAATCCCCATGCTGTGCTATCTATATAATATGACAAACTTTAGAATGCACCGTGGATGGATATACTCCTAGATATTTCATATACGATCTCAAAATATATTATTGTACTGTGTGCCATTGGTGCATAGAGATTCTGTATTTTATTCATTCAGTCCACAGGTTTTTGTTTTGTCACCTCAGTTAATTCGAGTCACAAAACCCCCTGAATGTTTTTGTGGTGCTGTTGCCTTCTTTGTGTGCAAATATCTAATAAAAGATCTAATAAATAATAACTTAAGTAGGTTAAATTCACAGTTACCTACTTTACTTGAGCTTCCCTTTTTACACCGCTCTCTATTGTTGCTTCACTATGCTTTATATTTTACTTCATTATCTGACAGTTTATACTACTTTTGGACCTTTGTATATAAAAAAATAAGTCACCCAGTTGTGCATAGTACAACTAAAAGTATTAATTAGTTAATCAATTTTTGATTTGCTTTTTGTTTTTGTTTTTAGACAAAAACAAAGGACTAGATTGAGAGACTGCATCTTAGCTCATACAAATGCCCTCAAAACTGAAAATGAAACCATATGGTATGGTCATTTTCTTTTGTTTTATTTCATTATTATTTATTATTAACAATAATTATTATTACATTTATTGGCTCTGGGTTCCATCCTTAGACGGGAAGGGATTGCTTTTCATTGTTATGCTGATGAATGCCAAATTTATTTGCCACTAAAGCAGAAGGATGGCATCGCCATCAAACCTCTTTTGGCATGTCTAGATGACATTAAAGTGTGGTTGGCTTTAAACTTTAAAATTTTAATGAAAAGAAAACAGAGGTGTTGGTGTTTGGACCTAGTGGGCACTGTGAGTCCTCTGTTGATTTGGGACCCCTGGAAGTTTATTTTAAACCTGTTATTACTGAACCTTGGTTTTAAATTGGACAGCCAAATTAGAGCAGTGGTGAAGTCCAGTTTTTATCATTTAAGGCAACTGGCAAGAGTGAAATCTTTTCTTTCAAGGCACCTCGAAACAGTCATCCATGCTTTTATTTCTTCCTGTCTGGAGGCAGTCTCTCTTCAGCGGAAGGAAAAAATGATATGGTTTGAAAATGCCATGTCACTGCTTTCCTCATCCCTTGCACAGATCAATCCACATGTTCATAGCATGCCTTTTTTTCTCTGAAATATGCTGAGCAAACCTGTATTGTTGACATTTCTTATATGTCAATCAGCGTATCACCACTGATTTAGTGAGTAAATGTTTATTCTCATTCAAACTGTTTTTGTGCCTTCTTGCAGTTTAGCACTTTATGAAGTTGCTAGCTAGCCAGTGCTGCCTCTCGGCTCATGTTGGTTAAAAAATTAACCCCACAGCTTTAAAAACCTTATATAAAAGACTGAGCAAATTTACTGTTGCTCATTTGAAATAGAAAAGTAAGCGTTGCAGAAGCCAAGACGAAACATTTCCAGAGGGTGCAGCCCTTAGGGGTTCGGCTTGTTTTTAATTCATATGGACTTTTATAACATATTAACTGTATATTCTTAGACCCGGCATTTATTCTAATGCTTTGTTGCTGCTTTTGAATATCTGTGGCATCTGTTAATGTCAAATCTAGCCATTCCTTATCAAGCTATTTTTACATTTAACCAACATTTCTGTTTAATTTCATTTTAAATAATACTAGTATTTGTTAGTTTTAATAGTATTTTAGATTCATGTTTTGTTGTGAAATTCAAAAGCTATAAACCAGATTAGGGTTACAATCTAATTGGGCTTTATAGCTGAAAATAAAGTAATTTAGCTTCTTCTAAACAAATTAGTTAAACTCTACTATTGAATTATCAGAAACATTTTGGGGTAGACTATGTTAAATATAAATATACATACAATGGTTATTGTGCTTTTTAGAAACTATATATTGGAAGTTAGCTTTTAACAAGCATGTAATGA